TTTGTGCATGCTCAGTGTGCATAAGAAAAGAATCAACGATGACTCCGAATTCATTGAAAAAGTTATAACAGATTTGGACAGCAAACAAGACGATTAAAATTCTTTTTTGATTAAACAATTTTGTAATTGTTATGTATCAATAATTACTTAATTATTTGTTTTTGAATAAAAATATTTTTAATAAAAAATTTTTATAACAAAATTTTTTTTCTGTGTCTCTTTAATTGTCTTTAAAAAAAAAAGCCAGGGGGGTGCAAGTGCACCCCCTTGCACCCCGCTGCCGGCGCCCTTGGGCAGTTATAGGGTAGCAGAAAAATTGTAGAGCCTAATATTTCTGTAGACCACAGTTTTTTTCCAAGTTTGGAACTCCTCCCTCCCAAAAAATAAAAAAAGTATAGCACTTTTATTTCTTTAGTACCAATAACTTTTTAAAAATATTTTTAAAAAGTAAAAGTTTGTATGTTGATAAAATCTTTTGATAATTTTTTCGCTAACAAAGAAAAAAATTCACTTGATTTCACACAATTCTTGAAAAAACTAGCATATGAGTCAAAAACAATAGAAATAAAAATATAATGAAATACTGATAATAATTTACAAAACTGATTTTAAGGTCCCATGCATAAGCTTATGAAAATCTAACTAATAAATAAACAAATTGGCATATAAATAGTTATTTAAGTTAGATTCAACATGACAAAAAATATTCTGTTTCTTTTAAGGCAGCAATATGATATGGCATAGGGAATTAGAAAATATGTTTTTAAAAGAATTAAAATGTATATTTTAGTATTTAAATGATGACTTACTTTTCCATCTTTCTGATTGTTCAAAGTCTTTGTACAAACAAACCCTTATTAAAGTAATCTTTCCATTATATAATAAACGCATAAAGTTCCGCTTGGTATTTCATTAGACGTGACGTTATTTTAATGTCCATTAGAACGTTTGCACTGATATAGCATTTGATTTATTAAAAATTTTCAAAGAAATCGTTTAAATTATTATTTTCTATGATGTTATCGCATAATAAATGTAGAACATCTTGAGCCTCATTTGATTGAAAGATAGGTGACGTGTCCCAGCAAAATTTCATTCTAAATCCTAGGTCGTAATTTAAAGTCACCCATAGGGTCGTTCTATCAAGTATCGACTGTACTACAATTTTAATTAAATTATTAGTAAAATAATTTAACAAGAGGCAGAAAGTTAAGTAGTCTTAATTACTTATTTAATTTTTTTTTGGTCTAATAAAACATCTTTTAATTGAAAAAAAAAATCTTAATTGAAAGCCTCTAAAAATAACATCTTTTAATTAAATGCAGATTTTATATAGCTTCTGTTGTTATCTTTATTTTTCATTATATTCCTTCTCTATATATTCCCTTTTTTATATGGCGGGATTCTTATTTTTTTTTCTTTCTTTTTTTTCTCCTTTTTTCTTCTTTTACACAGTCAGCTAGACAATCTGATTCAGCAGGAGTTGTGAAAGCAATCAAATAAAAAATTTTTAAAAAATGGCTGACAAAAATTAAGTTAGCTAAAACAGTGGAATTTTAACTATCGATATCTCAAAGTTGAAGGGAGGGTAAAAAAATTTCGAGTTAGAGAGGTTTTGAGAAAACAAGTTCAGAACTAAATATGTTCTGAAAAGAAGGAAAATATACTAAAAAATATTGCTCTAAAAAGTAGAGTCATGAAACATAAAAATAACCACTAATAAATATGTATGTAATGTTGACTAAAAGTCTAAAAACAACAATGATAATTTTACTTTTAAAAGACAAAAACAATTATGCATTAAACAGAAAAGAATTGGTTTACAATGAACTTGTGATTTTTCCAAAAAAATTTCTCTTCTATTTCGAAAAAAAAAAAACGACATAAAAAGGGTTTTGAGAACAAAATTCTGAGACATAGAAATTCAAATTAACATTAGGTGGATATATAATGCCAAGGGGGAAAATATTTTTTCGAGATATAGAAGTTTGAGATACCGAGAGTATACTTATTTAGCAGAAGAGATAGCTGATTCAACAATATTACAGTTAGCCACATATGCAATAATTTGTTCCCCTTTAACTAATAACTTTTTTCTTCTTTTCGTATCTGTTACTTCAATATGCTTAATGAGTGGTATAGTTTTAATGTATGTTTAGGGGGACGGGTTTATTGGGTTGTTTCTCCTTCCTATATATATATTTACCATACAATAGTTCATTAATGTACAATTTCGGAGGGGTTTTGTCACCTGAACCCTCCCCAAAACTAAACCCCTGTGCTTAACAATTTATATACTGTATATGCAATTATGCATTCACAAAATGTGATTGGTGTGAAACTGTGAGCAAAATATATGTCAATGGCAGTAAGAGCTCATATTAAGACAAGTGAGTGGAATATGTTCAATCTTGCGAACAGAATTCAAAGGAAATTCAGGCAGTCAATAGGAAATTTTCGGTTTAAATATTTTTTAAAAAATTTCTAGAAAATTTTTATTGTTAAAAAAGTAAAAAAAAATTGTCTATTTACAACATTTTTACATGTGTAAAGAAAAAAAAAATTAATGGCAAATTTTTCCTGCACACAAAAAAAGGGGTTTAAAAATCACAATATAAAAGGACTGCTTTGATGGCTAAAAAGCAAAAAAATATTTTCTGTTATGTTAAATATAACACAAATAACCTCATATTTTACTTTGTTTAGTTATTAGTTTGAGTTCATTAAGTTTATGAGTGGGAAGTAGGATCTTAACGATATATTTATAGACCATTGCTACTTTAACATACAGAAATGGGACAGCAGCTTAATCATTATTTAAATAATGGCAATTTAGCTAATTATAGAAAAAAATGTGTTTTGGAGAAAGTGAATTTGATATTTAGCCCCAAAAACTTTTATATTCCAAGCATAGTGCTTGTAAAAATATATTTTTGACCAGGTTTGCGCAGATAAATTTACATTTTATAACATATTCAACAAACCTTAAAATATAAATGCATTATTAAATAAAAAGGATGTAACAAAATCCTAAAAAAGAATAATGTAAATAAATTTATAAAAATTTATTCCACAGGTATCCTGCAGAAATAAAACCTAAAAAGGGCTTAAATCATATTTAAATAAACATTTTAACGAAGTTGAGAAAAAAAAATATGTCTATAATATTTGGAGAAAAAAATTATTACCTAATTCAAATGAAACTTAATTTATCATCACCAATATAAATAATAGTAAATATAATTTATTATCACTGATTTCCTAGTAAATCTCCATGGTTTATTTAATATTTTTTCGCTGTCAGTTAATTAAGATGGCATGTTAAATTTTATTTTAAATCCATATAGTATGATAATTGGTTTTTTTTTCTTCATATTTTGCCATTTCAATTAAGTTTTTTAACTCTGATATTTTCATTGTGATATTATTAAGACACATGAATTTTAAAATTGATTGACATTTTGACACATAGTATATAAAATATAGTAACATAAATCCATATAGTATGATAATTGTTTTTTTTTTTTTCGTATTTTGCCATTTCAATTAAGTTTTTCAACTCTGATATTTTCATTGTGATATTATTAAGACACATGAATTTTAAAATTGATTGACATTTTGACACGCTTGATCATTTCCATGTCGGTTTTCAAATTTCAATGCATTAAATTATTTCAATGTTATTATGACACATGAATTTTGGTTTTGAGGAACGACAATTTTTTAATGATTTATACAAAAACTACTTTTGAATGATTCTATTATTATTCCACATCATTTTACGATTGTTTCACTCCAGCACTTCCACTTTATTTCTTTCAATTCTGATATTTTATGTTATCACTACATGGATATTTTGAAATTTAGATCTTTTTGACACACTGTATTTGTGACAATTCTATTTCTGAAACTTTTTCACATAGTTATTCCAGCTCCAATAATTTTAATTTGATGGTGTGATAGCTCATTATTATGCACAAATTCAGCCGCAATATGCAGAGTTGCACTTTTCGCTGAATAAATATTATTAGAGTTTTGGAGTAACTTGGCTCAATTTTAAGGGGGGGGGGGAGGCATTTTAAAGCAGGCTGCATCAGAAATTTCGTTCTGGAGCAGTTGGGCACAACTCGCACATCTGTTCCAATCCTGATACATTTCAATTTCTATTATTTTTTACATATATGCTATTTTATTCAAGAATTGTATTGTAAAATCAAATGATTTTTTTTTTTCTATTTTCTTTTTTAGAAAAAATCATTATCAAAATGTTTTAACGTTAATTTAAGTTCGTATATATACGAACTTAAATATTTTGAATTGATATTGAATATTTAATATTGAGAATATTTTGAAAAAGTTATTGGAACTATAAAAAAAAAACTATCATTTTAGGTAAGAATTCACAAATAAAAAATTGTGTATAGTGAATTTTCTTCACTCCTGTTTTATGATAAGAAAATTCATAATTTATTGAAAGGAATTCCAATTTTACTGAATCATAATATAATTTCACATAAAATTAGTAATAAATTGATTTGTGTTATCAAATTAAATACTTTTTTACAACTGTAAATTAGCTAAATGAATGTACATTCTTTAGAGTAAGAATAGTTTAAATGTGCAGGGTATTTGATTAGGGCAATTTTTTTGTTTTCACTTAGGCTGTTACCTTTTTTTGTAACTTAAACCTATAATTTCATTTGAAACACATTATACATTTCTTTAACTTTGTTGGCTTTCAGACTGTTTTCGAAATCGGGAAAAGAGTTGGGAGATTCCACACCGTAGGCTTTTCCGGTGATCATTAAACAACTCAAAAAATGAAGCTAAAGGACAGTTACGTTCCAGAAGGCAACATTTTACGAAGTTCTGACTTTATTTTTTTATTATTATTGAGGATAGGAATTCTTATTTCTGGGGGAGATTTTTATCTCACAAAACTAAAACACATAAAAGAATAGCAATAATAAGAAGAATAGTAAGGGAAAAAGTGACCTTACTGGTCCAACACAGCTAATTATGACAGTAGAACTTCTACACATATGCACCAATGAAGATTCATCTCCAGTATCTGCCTGTATTATGTCAACTGAATCCAAGTTTTTATCTGTAAATGGACAAAAGAGACACCAGTAAGTGTATGATTGTTAAAAGTTCCAATTAATAACAAAAACATTTTCTTAATCTTATTGAAATTGTTTAATGATATTACGATATTGAAACAACTCTGCTCATCCACAGTACTACTGAAATATTTAAGTGGTTCCAGAACTAGGTGCAGGAAATTAAGAAAATTGAGTCACTTGACTAAAAGTTATCAACAGCCCATACATATTTTCACTGGTCTGTTTACATGCCTCATCTGGATTCTCTTTAGGAAAATATCAATAAAGTAAATTTAATTGAAAAATTACAGTACAGAAAATTTTACAACTAAACACAAACCAAAACTTGAAAGAGAAAATCAAATAACCAAAACATCTCGTTACATTGATTACTGGTCTGCGAGAAAACTGATATGGTGGTCCAAGTTAATTTTTAGTGGTCTCGGTCTAATGTTAATTTCAAACCTAGAGACCACATTTGAATTGAAAATAGTTTGGTGTACAAGGAAAGATCTATAAGAGTAATTCAATCATAATGAAGGAAATAATTGTACAGTCCAAAGGCATGTAACTTGGTAAAAATGTTTTGGTTTAAGTGGTATGCCTAAAATGAATAACTCTATTTTCTGACCCACAGCAAAATAATTGCTGCAATTTGGCTACAACTGAGCAGTGGCATGTAAAGAAATAAAAAATGGCAAACTGAATGCAAGTTAAAATTTCCTGTATACGATAATATAGCAATAAAAAAAACTATAAAATCCAACTGACAAAAATGCAATCATAAATCTAGATGGATGAATCATTAATTGAATATAAAATAAGTGATTTGAAGTCTGATGAACAAAATGTTGTATTTAAGCATTAAGGTTATAAAAACCATGTGAAAGTCCGTTTTAATAACCACCGAGAAAATTATCGACAAAACCATGAGGATGTCAAAACCACAGCTGAATTGTCGCTAATCGAGAAATGATTACTAAAATGCATGATTAAGAATTTGCAGTATGTAATAATGGAATATTAAATAATTGAGATTTAAAAACCATGTAGAAATCTTTAATACTAGCTACCAAAAATAACGATTGCATTGGATTTATCACACTAATGGAAATTGACAGTAACTATCATGCATTTATTATTGAATAAAGATAGCTCAATGTTTACCTCATAGACTTATTCTTATTATATGCAAAAATCTATTTTCTGGACTTCCTGAAGATTTTGGATATGGGCCCTTCGACTCTACTCATTTTAGCAGAATTATGTATGGATGATAGAAGGTTGATATTCCTCCTCACGAAGGTTCCTCTGAATTCAATTTCAAACTAGATTATTTTCAGTCAACGTCTTCTACAATTGATAATCAGAAATGTCCATCCAGTCAGAGCTAATCAAGTAATTATTTTTAGCCTACATATTATTCAGACTGTAGAATTTTAAAGACAAATAAAAATTTCAAGGTGGCCCTATTTATATGTCAGAGCCCGAAGAGCTAAAGTGTACTCAGATTAGTTGGAGAAAAAAAAAAAACTTAAAGCTAATTTAATTCTTTTATTGTCACTTTTTCTGCTTCTCTTTTGCCAACTTCTCAAACTTTTTTCTTATCAGCACTTTTATTACGACAGCTTTCCTTAAAGAGCCACTCTAATAAACTATGTTATACTTTTTTAAAACTCTTTTCTAAAAATACAATAGGAAAAAGCTACATTGTAATTTTAAGGGTTCAATTTTTAGTTTAAAAATCAACGAAGATTTTTGTTTTGTTTTCTATTTAGATTTACTTTTAAAAAGAAAAAAATATTTGTTTTATCATTATTTCTTATTTATCGTATGGCAATTAAAAAAGTATTTGTACTAGAAATTTTATTCTTTTTCTTCACTTTTTTTTTAAAAATACAGTAATTTGAAAACTGAGAAGTACAGCTTTAAATTTTTCTTTCAAAAATTAAGATATCAGTTTTTATTTTATCCATTTCGCTGTTGAATGTAATCTTTTTTTATGGGTGTTTTTATGTTAGTGCAGCATTTTTTAAACTGTTTCTGATAGACTACGTCTTCTAACGTTATATGGATGCTTTTTTCCGTAAAGTATGATTTTCAAAGTTATGGTGTCTCAGAGAATAAAGCTCATGTTTCCTAATGAGGTAACCTTGGTTCGTTGCTCGATCCCAAGAATGGGTGATCAACAAGAATTCTGCACCTGGCTCACACTGACCATAGGTCCAATGTAAGATATCTTCAGTGGTAGATGGATCATGAACTTGAGTTCCCTAGACAATGGCTAACATTAAGAAGTTTTTCTCTCCATGTAACACAAATATGGTTTAATTCCACCAAAAAGTCTTCCATGAAGGAAAATTTCTCTCAGTTACCTGCGTAAAAATTTATCAAAATGTGTAATATAATGTTATAACTGAATTTGATCTTCAACAATGTTTAAACTACCCACTTATGCTATTTTATATGTACATTTCCAAAAAAAAATTCTCTCATAATTAAGGAGAAAAATTTGCAGTTCATAAAAATAATTATAGACATATACCAAATGACAATTTCTGTGCAGAATTTTTTCAAAAAAAAAAAAAAATTACTATACATAAACTAAAATAAATTAATAATTAATAGAGAATTTGAAGCTTTTTCTACAATTTAAATTGAAAAATTTAAAAAAAAAAGGACATAAAAGGTGCATTTTTTAAAATTCAAATTAATATTTTTTTAAATTTTTTTTTTCAAAAATTAAAATCATTAAAAAAATTTATTATTACCCCCCTATTAAAGAGGGGATATTTCCAAATTGCACCAATTGTGATCTGTCATTCTTCAAAATGGAATATGAATAAAAAGACAATGTTTTTAAGCGATGGCAGCGTATTTTTACAAAAAAGTCAAAGAGGACGCAATTATAGGAATCAAAAAGCACTCAGGACGGACCCCTATTCTAAAAACGCTCAGAGAGAACACTGATTCAAAAAATTTTTAAGAATTAAGCAAAAAGAGAACCTTTTGCGAACAAATTTTCTCAAAATTAGGTGGCGACGAAAGAGTTAAAACTAGTTATAAGAGCTAATAAGTTGCTTGTAGAAAGTGTTTTAAATTGAGATTTACGGTTCACAAAAATTTTTTAATTTTATCTAAGACTTGCCATATTACAGAAACTTATCTAAATAGCCCTCTGCAATTACTACTAGGTACACTCCCTTTTCAAAAAATTTTCAGTGCTGAGAGGAAGGGTTTTCTTTAAGATAATAAAGAAAGTGATACAGAGATAAGGAAACAAGTCATCTACCGGCCGGCGGATATGAATATTTACACTGATAGGGGGGAAAAAGAATTAAGTAATATTAATGTTTCAATTTATACAGTTTTCAAAAAAATACTATCATACCGATTTCATTCCCGATTTCTTTTAAAACTTTCCTCAACTTCTCGACACTCCTTCCTGCAATACACCACTTAATTTCAGAATGATAAGTGGCAAGTTCACGGACGACAAACACCCCTGTATATCCACTTGCACCAAAAACAGTAACATCATACTTTCGTTCCATTGAACAAAGAAACTAATTCCTTAACTATCTTTAAAGAAAGACCATGGAAAGACTAATGTGACTATCTCATTTGGTTTTGATTTTGATGAACTTCATTACTATTTTGATGAGTTTCCGACTGCCTATTTTTGTGCTTAAAATTCTTTATGCGCACTTAATGCAGATAAAAAGCTATAAGCGGAAAAATTTATTTATACAAAACTCGTCGCAAATATCAACTTTAACCAGTTTGACACGTAAATAAACATAGCTCTAGTTGCTAATAAATTTTCATTAATATAAAACAATTCTTCTATCTGAACTCATTTTAGTTTAAAGTTTTTAGCATTTGTTGTAATTATTCTCCTAAATTTTATATTTACCCATTGTTGCAGTATGCATATGATTGCAATTTGGTGATTTTAACATTCGAGGAAATTGTGACGCATTTTCGGACTTGAACTTGTAGTTAATTCTAGGTATGATGCTAATTTTTAAATATTAGAAGTTAGATTATTTTTATACTTGTGTTTTTTTTTATTGATAATTTGATTCACACTGAAAAATATTGGTTTAAAGTCTACTGGAGAGAACTGATTCGATTGCAAAACAGTATCAGTTTACATGAGTTTCTATGCTATTGCATGCAGAAGAAAAGAAATCAATAATTATAGTGTATTTTAAAGTTTACGTATTTCGTGAATAAATTGTGTTCTTATTCAAATTTACAGACTTCAGAGAATATGTGCTGTTCTCAATGTATTAATGTTTACTTCTTAGTCTATCTTAGTTAGTTACAAATTTAAAAAAAAAAAAAAAATTCAAAAAGAGTTTCTGAAACATCACAACATTCTATTGAAATTTAATATATACGTGCTGAAAATTAATAGTTTTCTGCCAAAAACTAGTAAGTATATGTAGGTGTTTGTCAGACTTTTATCATTAGTTTAAATTTTAGATCCATTAATTAATTTGCATAAAGATATTCCTTCTATTTTAGTTATTAGTCATAACTGTAAAAGTGATGAACATATTTACTACAAAGTTTAAACAGATTTATTAAAATCATCATAGGAAAAAATTGGAATCATTATCAAAAATATTAGCTAAAGCCTAATCGTTTAGATAAAGGATTTGCTTGCCTCTGATTGGCTAACCAGTTGTGATTTACACCACAACTGGTTATGAGTCGAGTCATCTTTCCTTCAAAAAGAGAGAAAAATTATACACTTAAGCTAATGCAGATTTACTCCAACCCCTTAGAATAATTCTAAGAAAACAAAGTCATTTCAAACTTTCAGTCAAACATTTCCTATGTGGCAATGGTGTAATAATTAACTTCAATGTCATTTTTCGAAGTCTTTGGCGTCATATCAAATGACACTTTTTGAGAATAATATGCTATTTTCATAACTGCTGTGTCTGTTATTCATGCCTGTTAGAAGAAGTTTAGCCTATCTAAACCTAGCATTGTTTATGCTTGTTCTAAAAGTGGCACAAAAAGGTCAATCTAAAGAAAAGCCCCAGTTTTGTTGAATAAAAAGCTTGTGTGGTCTAATTTTTTAATAGTTAAAAACTTACTCCAATGTCGCATTATCTGAGCTTATAAAAATTTTCAAAAACTGAGAAAAGGGCAATGTGTTATATCATTTTTATCTAGATAGTAAAATGTTGCCGAATTGGCCCTTTTTTTTTAAAGTTAATAACTTTTAAAATATTTAGGTTATGTGTCTGTTCTAAAGCTCATATAATTTTTTACGGTAAGAGGATGTATGTAAATTAAAATCATTGTTTTGTTTCAAGTGTAAGGCAATTAAACTGTGGCTTTTTTATTTTCTCTGGAAACAGAGCTTTAAAAACCATGGAATAATTTGCTTTCAGTTTGATATTTCATAATAATTTTTTTTCATCATTTGGAACTTTATGGTTTATTTTACATTTATCTGATCTCTTTCACTAAATCCTAAATTTTGAAATACCAATGGAGGAGAAACAGAATTTGCTGTAAAATCTTCTCCTGCAGCATAACGTCTTCTTAAAGCTGTTTTTCAAACTGTTATTATATATGAAATAATAATTTTTAGTGAAACATATGCTACCATATTATATAGCTCCCAAACTCAATCAAATGCCCACAAGCAATCAATTACGAATAAATGACCATCTTTTATTATCTGCTCTCTTAAACACAATCTTGCTTTTAGCCACATACATAATCTTTCTCATCTAGGTGTTTCATTAATATTTAAAGTGATATTTAAAAAGATTTGTTTAGCCACATATGCATAAATTTGTAAGACACTCTGTCCAATCTTGTCAAAATTATTAACGTGCTAAAATTCATTGACACACTAAGTCAAAAATTGTTTCTTTTGAACTGTTAGATTTGCACACATGTATTTAGACTTTATAGGACTCCTTGAAATCTTTTATGGTTATCATTCATGGCCATTATTGATCGGTTCACCATTCATTAATGGGTGGATATCCTGCTTTGGTTGTCCCAGTACTATTACTACTGATCAGGAGCAAAATTTTGAGGCCAAATTATTCTGAGAACTGAGAAATATTTTTGGAATGCATACATTTGTGCTATTATGGCATCTAATACAACTAAATGGTCAGAAATATTCCCATTCTGCTGCTTGGTATACGTTCAGCCTAATATCAATACTTCGTCTGCTTAATTGGTGTATGGCACTATCCTCAGACTGCCTTCAGACACTTTGAACTGTGTTAACCAGGGCTGCTAGATTTTGACTTGGCCAAAAGAAGCCAGTCATTTTTATTTGGTTTAAACCGCTTAAATAGAGTCAGTCTTTTTTGTAAAAAAAGGCCAGTCTTTTTTAGGAAAAGTTTTTTAATTTTATACATGAAGAACATTGGCTTCATTAAAAAAAACTGAAAATACTTAATTTAAAGAGATAAAAATAGGATACATTAAGGGACATAAAAAAAGTAAACAACACATAATAAACTGGAAAATTTTACTTTTCAAACGACTAGTTATTTCTAAGATGCATATTTAATTACCAATCATTTGATTCACATTTATAGACAGTATACACTTTAACTAACTTTTAAGCCTTTTCAGCCCATAAGCGGTTGCGAATTTAATTCCACACAAAGCCATATTTGGAGAAAATTGTTCCAATAGAAGCTGAAGAAGGTGGACAACTATTCAATTTGATAAATAAAAAATCTTCAGGCTATGTTTTTTTTTTTTTTTTTGATGTTTTTATTTTTATTAGGTTGCACCACTTTTGTGCTGAAAGTTGTTCAATTATATATTTTTAAAATAACAATGCTGGGTAAGGTTCTAAGTCATTTATCTTTCATTTCAATAACCTAGGTAAAAAGTCAGGATGGTTCTCTTTAATCCACATTTCTGTTTTTTCTTCATGTTTATATGTGAGACCTTCATCAAAGTATTTCGGGTTTGTTAAGAAATGGAATGGATCTACGTAATGATTGAATTGCTTCTTGAAATTTCCAGCATAGTTACTTAAAGTTGGTTCTTCTTATACATTTATTCACACCTCTACAACAGTGGAAAGAGTTGCAGCATAACTTTGCAAAAAATAATGCATTTTGCCAGTAGTTCTGATTTTGCAAATAAACTGCTTCTGTGTAAATAGTAATGTTGCCTAAAATGTTTCTAATCTGGTATTCAAATTTTCTCATTTTATTTCACTGTGTGTGTGAAAATTTGAAATAAATATTCTGAGGCATTCTTCATAAAAATTCCTCCTAGTTTCGTTAGGAATTTTGGGATATTAATCACCCTTTTTCACGTTACCATCCATGATCATTGTGTTTATTTTTAAAATACTTCAATGAAATGCCACAATATGTTTCATTGAAGTATTTGGCGTTACATATTTTGCACACAGATTTAATAAATGCTCTGCTCATCCTGTAAGGAGATAAGGATAATTTTCATTGGATCTTAGAATTCTGCTCATTGCATTCATTTTATTTTCATTGCCAGTAATTACAGCGAAGACATTTCTTCCATATTTTTCTTTGATTTCTTCTATTGCACTTTTTGCAAAACCAGCACAATAATCTGAAGTTTTTTTTTTCCTTTTTCGGCACCACAGTCGATTGCTTTGAAAAGGTGGCTTTTATTTCCAGTATATATACTGCATGCAAAAATTGGATCATTCAAGGTTGATTGCATTCCGAGTTTTTCATATCATCCTTCAGGTCTCAAAACTAGGAGCAGGGCATTATAGATTTCCGCATTATTCCGTGTATCTCACGAATTGATTTGCAGACTTCGGCGAATCAAAACTTATAATCCGACGAAATTTTTACCGCAATCTAAAATTTAAAGTAATAAATTAAGTTCTACAATCTAAATTTTGAATCACGTTAACGAGGCGTATTCATACACGTGACTGTTCCGCAATATTTATTTTATTTTATTTGTCGGATTTTCATCGTTTTTATATTTGAAACTACGCCGGAATCCGCTAATATCGCGCATCATATTCTCGCGATTATAATATCAAACATCAATTTTCCTAAAACGTGAAGAGGCAATCATTAAAGCAAAAATTATTATGGGTATTCCGTTTTTTATTTTGCGCACTGTACATAAACCTTTACAAACTTGTACTCGTGTATATTTGCGAATAGATACTGTAAAACCACCTTTAACTCCTCCATACACTGGACCAGAGGTGCAGAACGCAGTGTTTTTTATTTGAAATTAAGCAGTTACATAACTTTATAAAGAAAAANTCCCACGGCCTCATGTAAGAAATATAAATTTGATTTTACAAAATTTTGAAATAAATTTGATGTGTGATAGAAATCAAAATGTATTGAAGTAGTAATAATTGTTAAAACTTAATTTAAAATATTACTCATACTTTAAGTTATAACTCATAAACTCAAAATCGAGGGTTATTGTTAATAAATCAGAATTTTTTTTTTCTTTTTAGACAGTAAGTTGGTATAGCGTTGAAATTAAAAAAATATATTAAAATGTGCTTTAAAATTGTATATTTTAATATTTAAGTGAGGACTTATTTTTTCCATCTTTCTATTTTTAAATAATCTACAAGATTAAAAATAGTCCGGAAGTTAAGTTGTATAATTTGTTTTAGTTAATAAAGGAAATTACAAAAACGTTCTCAAGTTGTTTATATCAAGCAAATAAGTTAATGCTGCAAAAGAGATTGATGTTAAAACCGGATTTATGAACCATTCTTACATTTTCTGTTTGAAAGTATCTATGACTTAATCAGCCAATCGAGTTTCTCTTTTCCCCTTACATCCTTTCATAAACCAATGAGAGTCAACCATGCTCTCACAAGCAAGTGTAGCAAACCGTCTTTTCAATATATATTTTTCATTAAGTTTTAATAAATATTATGAAAATTGATTAATTGGACTATCTTTAGTCATCCTCTACTCTATTTGAACTGACTCTTTTACTGAATCACTTATGTAAAGAATTTGCCCTGGAAGGTTTCCTCTGCTGTATAGCCTCCTCTTTAAACAAAAACTGATATATTAATTTCATTCTGAACTTCTTAACTGAGTATATGATTTCCAGTTTTAGATGCAAGCATAAATATGTTTTAATTCTGAAGAAGAGCATGCCAAAAGTGCGTATTCAATGGCCTGCTTCTAATTCTCAATCCATGCCGGGGGATAGTGGAATGCCCACTGAGTGGTCTAAAAATGGAAGCCTCATAAACAAGCCTCCACGAGGTTGGCTCCACCCAGATTCTCAGGTTGCCTATGGCGGAGTGAAATATGCTGTGCGAGTAAGTATTTGAACTACTATATTACTATCAACTATTTTAATAAATGCACCACTATGTAATCCTTTGAACGTTCAAGCTGCTGGTTGTGAGCGTTTTCTTACATTTTTAACAGTAACTGTTTTTTGAATAAATAATCCACACCGATTATGATTTTAAAGAAATCATTTTATATTTGCGTAATGATCGATTAATAAAATTACATTTAGTTAAGAAATGCAAAACTAGTCATGTGCTGCTCAGAAAGAATACTTGTATCTCTTACGTCACAGCAAGTGAAAGTTGAAGTTATTTGCCAAGAATGGGAGCTAGGCTTGACGTTGCTTGATTAGCAGTAATCCCTCTCCAGCAAATAGTACAAGTATTTTAGATTAACGCGGACATAGCGACCAGATCGTGTTATTGTTTCTGGAGGATATGCTGATTGAATGATAGGTGTTGTAGTTGTAGTTGTCAGAGTTGTTGATTGCACAATGTTTTTGAGAGAACCTTGGTGACTCAGAGGATAGAGTGTTCGTCTTTCAATAAGGCGAATCCCAGCAATGGCTAGTCGATATGAATTCTGCACTCTGATCGTATCAACCACAGTGCTGAGGTAAAGTATCCTCAGTTGTTGACGGATCTTTGTTTAGAGTCCCCTTGCCGTCTGACTCCACTGCCGGAGGCTTTCGTGGTTTTCCTCTCCATGTAACACAAATGCAGGTTAGTTACATCAAAATGTCTTTCACGGAGACAAATCTATCCCAATACTTCATCAAAAAGTTCTCTTGTCTTCTGGATTGGGTTCAAAATTACGTGGTTGCGGTACTAGTAGTCGTAAACCCAAAATTACTAGGGGTTACTAGTAGTCGTAAACCCAAAATTAGGTTGGCTATTCAATGACGGTCATAAAGTAGAATAAATGGATTTGAGAGAGTCGTGGTGGCTCAGGGGATAAAGCATTCGCTTTCCAAAGAGGTGAAGCGACTTAGATTCCCAGCAGTGGCCAGTCAATACGAATTCCGCATTCATCTCACACCGGCCACAGTTCTGACATAAAATATTCATATTTGCAAGAATTATTTGATCAGCCCTGTAATTTAATACCTTCACCTTGTACTATAAAAAAGTTGTTTTTGAAAACATTACAGCTGAGTATACAGAAGTAAATTATATCAAGTGTAGGTTGTTTTGAAAGTTATTAAGTTATTAATATAATTTTCATAAATTATTATCCAGTAGTTTAATAGCTGCCTCACCTTGCTCTAATTTAATGAGCTCTAATAAAGCTGACTGAACTCAATTGAATTTGCTTCAACCCTGTTTTAAATCATCATTCCAATCATTCTCTTTACCTGAACAAATAATATAGTTTGAAAACACTTCAAGTAACACATTTTGACCATTCCGATTTGTATTTATGTAAATTGAGATTCTTGCATCTCTCCTCATATTCAATTGGTATAAAAATTGCACATAAGGATTTATTAATCAATCCCACTGAGCAATGTCATTTTTAAATAGGGCAAATCATGATATAAGGTGCAAGACCTCATCAAAAGGATTATGAAATATGAATGATATAGCAACAGGTTACTGCGATTTAAAACGACTTATTGTGTTTGATTATTATAAATTTATGCATTTATAATTTTTTTGTAAGTGGAAAAAGATAATTTGAATGTGTAAACAAGTGTTATTTAAACAGAATTTTTTTTTATCTGCAATTCTTTCCCCCATGCTATGTAGAAAAATATCTGTTGCCTAACCTAAATTGTTATAAAGTTTTCATCATTTCTTTTTAATTTTAAGCAATAAAACATTTTAAATAATCAAAACTATATGAGTAAAGCTCAAGTAAAAGTACAGAAATGAACCTACTATAGTTTCAGTTTATAAACAAAAAATTTTTAAACACCGAACGGCAATAGTCCTATCCTACTATCATTTGGTGTTTTTTTTCTATGCAGAAGGGTATAGTTTATAGAATTGCAACTATAGCTTTATTTGTGTTGTTTTGCTTTATTCATGCATAGTACAGAGTATCATTTGAACGGAACATTTGTTTATAAAAGTGGCTTAAATACTATTTTTGATATTTGTGAATCCTCTTGTGAATTCTCTCTGTATTTCAAATGTTATTGATTTAATTAAAATATTGTATAATAAAGTGTTTGATTATTATTTCAGTATATTGGCTGCTTGGAAGTGAACACATCCATGAAAAGTTTGGATTTTGATTTTAGATCTCAAATTGCTAAGTATGTTGTTTTCTATAGATTGTATTAAAATCTTCAATTATTGCATTACAATGTTGAAATATCTCAGCATTTAATTATATTACTAATTACCAATAAAGATACTTTTAATAGTTCAAGTGCACTGATACTCCTAGACATCTTAGAAAATATCTATCAGATTAATTTTTAGAAACTTTTGTTAAAAATAAATCAACTTGTATGAACTAAAAATTGAAACTTTCATTGAGAAAAAGTCCTGAATGGTATCGAAGTTCCATTTCTTTTTACTTACTGTCACATCAATAATAACTATAGAAAATGACTATGATTGTACAAATTAATTTTTTTAAATTCAATTAATTCTGCTCATGAAGAAGGAACCCTTGCTAACTTAATCCCCGTGCCAGTTTCTTGATAGTTATTTTGTTTTTTGATGATAGACAGAGCGTTGCTTCAAAAAAATTTATTCAATAAAAATATCCCAAAATATTTCACTGCATTAACACAAATTTGCGTCCACAGATTTAATTACCAATTCTTTTTTTTCTTCTTTTTTTTATGAAGTTTAAAACTAATATAATTACTTGCTTATCATTGTAACTTGAGCTACAAAATTATTTACTTTTTGGCCACTATTAAAACTTATCAAATATTATTTGCAAAAATTAAGGAATATATTTAGTAATGATGAGAAAATTTATTGCTTAATATTGCTTTAGAATTTAAATAGTTATTTTGTATTCATTATTTTAAATGCATATGTTGACTGATTACAGTTTTACATTAAATTTGTTGTAAAAATAAGTATAACTTATTAAAAGGTAACCTATTTATTAACATTACAGTAAATAATTGTATAATGGTAGCTAAATGTCTTGATTATAAAATGTTACATAATAAGGTAAATATCCTGCCATTGGTTTATAATTGATAAAAAAAATTTTTTGAACCTTCGATTTTAAAAATAATCAAAATTAAAAAAAAATTTATAACATAGAATATTTAGAAGAAATAGTATATACCATTAACTAAAACGACTATAAAATAATTTACAGGTGATATATGTCAATTATTGTGTAAATACATTTTCATAATTTACCTACTGCTATGAGTTTTATTTATTTTTTGGTGATGATGGCATAACATTTGTCATAACATAGACATAACATTTGTCATAACCATTTGACAAAGAGTTGTCCCCTATCCGGCCTGAATAATAGCATTACTTTTATATGGTGGCTATCAGCATCCTATAACATATTTTGGCTATCAGCATCGCATGACATATGTTGGCTATCGGCATCATGTGACATATGTTGGCTATCCACATCATATGACATATATTGGCTATCGGCATTATATGACATGTGTTGGCTATCAGCTTCATATGACATATGCTGGCTATCGGCATCATATGACACATGTTAGCTATCAGCATCAATGAATGTTTCAGAATGCATTCAATTGTGAGGGCGAAAAATAGTTTCTTTTATAAGAGAAAAGAATACAGAGTGTTGCTAAATTAATAGTCAAAACTGTAAAAAAAATGACAACCTATTTAATTAAAATTTTCGACAATAATCATTAGAAAGTTCAAAGAATAAGAGTACCAGTTCATATGTACAAGAACAGTCAGTTTATAAAAGGAGGATGTTTCTGGTGGTATATGATAACATTTCTAGTCATGGTTATCTACACCATTCTCTATCTTTTGAGTCATTCTGATATCACATATTAATTGAAAATTATCAATATTATTGTGCCTTAAAGGGAAACTAATGTGTTTTCATTTATAGGGAATGCATTAACAGAGTTTGTGAAACAGCCGGTTTGAAAACTGCGGATAAAAAAAGAAGAGTAATTATATGTGTTCTCTGTTAGCAGTGCATGTTACTTTTTATACTCTATTTATTATGCTAAATCTATTATTTCACTTTGATTGTATTTAATGAATAATTTTATTACAATTCCCAGCACCATGATTTTGTGGAAATACGTTGCACTCACTAAATTTGAGTATAAAGAAAAATTTTTTACCAGAAAGACCTCGTCATCGAATACACTACATAAAACGTTACTGAATGAATGATCGCATATTTAATAATGCAAATAACTGATTTCATATAAAATAAATTTTATAATAAGTGAATAAATGTGAATCAGAAATGATACATTTCAATAATTTTCATAATAACTTTTCAAAATTTTACCATGTATACACGGCCGGATTATCCTATAGGCACACTAGGCACGTGCCTAGGGCCTACGAAANTCAGGCTGCTCTCCTATCACTGTCAAGGTGTAAATTCACCTCTTTGTTAGTGTGGGAATGCTTCTCGGTCCTCTGTGACCTGTCCACTCATAACAAGGTATCCCTGCATTGGGTACCAGGACATATGGGTATCGGTGGAAATGAGCTAGCTGACGAAGCAGCACGGGCTGGCTCTAATGCAATTTTCTGGGGCCCTGAACCTGCGCTGGGAATTTCTCCCTCCTCATTTAGGGCAACCATATTCAAGCTCTACGGCAAGATCGCCCATGAGCAGTGGCGCGCTGCTGACGGTCAAAGACAAGCTAAGGAGCTGAATCGAGACTGTCCTAGTGTACGTCAAAAGGAGCTCTTAAAGCTTAACAGAAACAGTATAAGGAAGATCATTGGTCTTCTTACTGGTCACTGTATCCTCAGAAGACACCTAAACATTATGGGAATTGAATCAAATTCTCTTTGTCGGGGATGTCATCTAGAAGAAGAGACATCACGACACATACTCTGTGATTGTGAGGTCTATTCTGCTCAAAGATTTGAGCATTTAGGACAGCATATTTTCAATGCCTGGGAACTGCATGATGTTCCTGTAAGGTGCTTGCTGAATTTTATTTCAGCCATAGGGCTTTCATGCTAATCATGATTTTAGGGTTTGGGTACAATAGACCTCTGGTCAATGTGCCCTGCTCGTCAGAGCTGCCCAACCTCTAAGTCTAAGTTCTTTGTCTCTTAGATTTTTTATTAAAAAAAGAATGGTTCATAAAAATTTACAATTCAAGGAATGTGTGAAGTTTGCATCTATGATGAAATATGCTATTTTGTCCTAATACTAATATCTCAGAATCTCTCAGTGCTAATATTAATATTTAATAATGTAATATGCTAATGTCTCAGATTATAGTTAATAATCAAGAAACCAAAAACAATTTACCATCTCTTTATACCAGTTACTGGTCCAGGGAACCACATTATTTTATGACTGTCTGAGTCAAACTTTAGCGCTTCTTGACCAATGACCGCAGTTAACTTAAAACTCTGATTGTTATATTTTTTCTTTAATTTCATGCATCATTTGTTGTGATATAAGTAATAATTTCAAAAATATAAATATTTGAAATTAGCTGATTCATGTGTGCTAAACTCTATGTTATCAATATTAAATTTTTAACAGTACACCAAGATCTACTTTCGCAAGATAAGCTTGTAGAGTTAAAACTCACTAAACATAATTTTAGTTAAAGTCTACCACATAACATTAACAAACTATTACAGTGTTCTAGGTTGACCTGAGCCATAAGTATTGCAATAGTTAGCTCCTAATTTAAAAAGTTATTTTCAATTTAATCCCTTTGTTCCTTTTGTATGCTGTATTGAAAATCATGTTCATTAATAAGATTTTAAATTTATTAGGTAGACAAACGAATTTGTCGAATGCTGGCAGAAAAACCCAACATGGATTTTGCTGGCTCTAATGCAAATTTAGTCATAACAAGTGCATGTATGAATCTATCTGTAATGGAATCCGAAGAAGTAAGTGTTTTTTCCCGTCATAAATTTTCTATTCTTTTAAGAAAAAATCAAATTCTTGTAATTGTTCAATAAATATTAGTATGCATGTAACTTGTGATGGATATGAAAATAAATATGTAATTAGCAATATATATTTATTTTCAGAAGAATAAACAAGTGGTAGTTTTGAGTAATAACCCTGAAAGATAAATATAATTGATAATAATGTATGATGATTTTAAATGACTTTTTACCTAAATGACAATATGATGCTGAATAAATAAGTTTAAATGAAGAAGTGAGATAAAATTCTTTTTCAATTCATTCAATTTTTTGTTATCATTTTTTTAGAAATTACATAGTTTAAAATGATAAAATGGCCAGTATGATTTTTTTTTTACTATTGAAAAATTTAATTATGAAATGCAAATTATTTTTTGCATGAAGTTGGTAAATGAATTTTATAAATAGGTACAATAATTTTTTGGTTTAAGCAATTAATTACAGAGATATTATTATACATTTCAAAATTTTAATATTATATAATTTTATGCTTAATTATCTTTTTTGAACTTTACAGATAATTGTTAATCATGAAATGCCCAATGTATCCTTTGCGTCTGGTGGAGATGCGGTAAGTCATTTGCCAACCATTTTGGTTGCTTTTTTTCTTTTACTAATTGCAAAGAGATAAATGAAACAGAGAGTTACTTTTAGTTTACCTATTAATTTTACTGTACTCAAAAATGAATTTGAGAAGAATTCTCATTCTCAAAATATTTTAAATTTGTATTTACTTCTAATAGTGAGTACTATTCCAACGGCGCATATAAGCAGGCATGTGATTCTTCTGCTAATTCGCGGAATTCAGAGAATCTCAAGACTTGATTTGCTGACGTACACAAATCAATAGTTTAGATTCTGACAAAATTAATTTGGGTTTCGCTGATTTAAGATGAAAATTTCATTACTTATGCGGTATTTGGTTTATGAGACATTTATTCTGTCCTTTCTTTATTTTCTTTCCAAGTTCTCATTCACCTGCAATATCGAAGTTTTTTATACAGATTTGTTAGAAAAAATCCCATCTTGGTATGAGCTTCGGGAACACGAGACTAAAAAGAAAAAATTTATAAATAAAATCCCCTAATAATTTCTGCTAGAATTAATGTGATTAGATAAAACTAGTGAGGCAAGCACATAAATATCAAATTCATAATCTAAAAAGTAATTCCAAAATGGCAAGCATTTGAAAAATCATTTGCTAGAGAAAATTGTGTTTTTTGTCATTTTTTTAAAACTTATTATTAATAAGTATCAATTTTGTAGCAAATTCCGATTTTTTCAAAAGAATTAATTTAATTAATGTGGTATCCTCAGCAATTTTTAAACACCATCTTGTACTATTTTATGTGTATATTGAAAAAAGTAATGCTCTCTCCTTATCAAAATAAGAGAAAAATTTGCAGTTTATAAAATAAAAAAAAGACATCCTAAAAAACTATTATTGTACAAAATGTTTACTGTAAACAGTAAACATTTTGTACAATAATAGTTTTTTTACAAAAGTAAACTAAAAAACATAATTGATTGATAAACAACTTTTACAATAATTTAAACTGTTTCTTTTTCTACAATTTAAACTGAAAATTATGAGACAATGAACATTTAAAGTGCTTTTTTTGTCAAAAAAAATTATTTGAAAAATAATTTTAAAATTTAAAATCGATTAAAAAATTTATTAATATCCCCCACCCCTCCAAAAAGAGAAACCTATAAAAATTTAACCAGTTGAGAATAATACTAACAAAAATATTTATAATAGTTATCAGAATTAAACCTATAAGCACATATAATTTTACCAATGCGTAATTATTATTGAAATATGAATAAAAGGCAGAGTTTTTAAGGAAAGGTGATTTAGTTTTACTAAAAAGGACTCATCCAATGGCAATCACGGTGGTCTGCCCTTCTAAAATCGCTTAGGGAGAACACTGCAATGGTTAATGAAGGCAACTGTCTCATAATTGGAATGTGTAACGAACTCTCCTCTTTCCCCCATTACAGCGCCTCTGGCGGTGAACTAAGACAGTCTGCCAGGAACCGCCGTAATGCACGGACGTTTAATTCGAGCCNAACCCCCTCTTCCAAATTCTTGTATTTTTTTATCCTTGTTTTATTTTTATGTGTTTTGTCCTTTTCAATAAATATTTAGAGTTAGATAATTTCTAGTCTTTCATTATTTATGTGAATTGGTAGAAATACAAATAAACCAGGACTTCCCCTACAAAAATGACGCCCAACTCGTGGCCGAACTAACGGTTCCTTGCTGGCTCAAATTTTTTTTTCAGAAAGTGAATGAACGTCCTGTTCAAATTGTGGAATTTAATGAGGTCATCCCGTAACTCGATTTCCTGAATTTTGATTCAGTATTTCCGTTTTCCCAGCTTACCCCAGCTAGACGAGGAAAACCGGGAAAACCCTTTCCCGCTCAACTTTGATAAGTACAATTTTTATAGTAGTAAGATTTCTATCGATTGATTTGAAACTTAATGAAAAGTATTATGTTGTATAGTAATTCTGTGTATGAAGTTTAAATATATAAATAGTTTGAATCATTCATTCTAAAAATAATTTTTATAAACTAAGAATCTGGTAGATAGAGAAATATATTATGAGAGTTAGCTATCTTTTTATGTTTCAAAATGAATATATATTGTGCAAAAGTTAAAAAAGCTGCATTCTAAAATATTTGAGCTTTGATTTTTCTTTTCTCATTTAAAAAGTGTGTTTAAAATTATTCATCTGTTTGAATATTATTTTATGAATATCACTTTCGATTAATACTTGCGCATCTGTGAATCAGACAAGATTCTTTCTTTATTGCTTTCTGTGGCGCCAAAACCACAGACGAATTTCTTTCATGGTAAAATGAGAGTGTTTGTAAACTGAAACTTATGTTAATGATTATAAAGAACTTATGTCTTAGTTGTTGTTATATTGCATTTTGTTTTATATTCATTGATCTCAATTACAGATATAAATTGAATTTAGCTAAGGTTGTAATAAAACTTGTTATTTAAAAAGAAAAAGAAATTTCAAAACTAAGAAAGAGGAAAAGAAATTTAAGAATATGTTGCTTCTTTTTAATTCATTCATGTAACTTGTAGTATAGTTTTATTATTAAAATTTCTACTTGTTATTACTTAAAAAAAAAAAAAAGGAAGGAAGGAGAAGAATTTTTTTCTATTGCTATGTGTTTTATATATATGTTTCTATATTGAATACACTTAAGTAACAAAGGTGGATAATTTTGATAAATGAAGAGTAGTGTATTTTGGTAAAAATTTTTTTTTATCTTGGTTTAATAGAATTTTATCCAGAAAAATAAAAGTAAAATGTCTGTGTAGTGTTTATACAGAATAATGTTTATTGTTCAAAATGTTGATTTATTTACAATATTGGTTGTTTGAATAGATTATATTAACTGGTTCAAATTATCTCAAGTAATATTGTGTGATAGGGTATCTATAATTAGAAACATTTTATATTAAATAATAAGTGACATTTCATTATCAGTGACATTTTAAGACTATTGGGGGTATTAAACAATATCTATTAAGTGGTGCTTTCACAATCTGCTACAATGACATTTTTAGGAAAGGGAAAAAAGGTCGATTTATGTGTATTAGCTGAAGAAATGGGTCTCAAGGTTCCCCCCGATGCTAAAGTCATTCAAATTAAGAAACTGATCACAGAAAATGAAGCATACGATGAAGAATTTTGCCTCAACGTGTTACAAAATATTATTGATGACAGAGTCGAAAAAGAAAGAAGCGAAAAATTAAATAGAGAAAAAGAAGAAGAACAAAATCGAATATTGAAAGAAAAGGAACAAGAACAGAATTTTGAGCTGGAAAAATTACGTTTGCAAATTGAAGCCCAAAAATTCATACAACCATCATCTGGTTTAACTAGTAGTTGTCCTGTCAACTTACAATTAAAGAAATTACTACCTGAATTCAATCCCAAAGAGGACGATATGGTTTTATATCTCAACTTATTTCAACGCCAATTGAAATTTTTAAAAGTAGACAAAGAGAATTGGGTAGCTTATTTACTTGGTGTCCTGCCAAACGATATTGCGCAACTCATCGCAAGAGAAGCAGAAGATAAAGCCCAAGATTTTGACTATATCAAAGAAATGCTTCTGAAAAGATTTAAGCTAAGTGCAGAAAAGCTTCGACAGTTGTATGCCACTCACAGAAAAACACCTGAGAAAACTTGGAAAGATTTTCATTTTGAACTCCAAACTTTTTTCGAAAATTGGTTAATGGAATTAGACATTAAAACTTTTGATGAATTAAAAAACTTGATGATCGTCGATCAAATGAAGAAAAGAATTCCTCCAGAAGCTAAAGAGCACTTCTTAGATGTCTGGTGTGAATGGAAAACGCCTGAAGATTTAATTGAGAAAATGGATGCGTATGAAAATCTTCGTATGAACAAAAAAGATTTGCAGAAAACAAATACAGAAAAGAAGCTTAATTTGAAACAAACAGAATCACAAAGACTTTATAACCAAAACAAGTATTCGCGTAGTCCCAGGGTACAATATGACCAGAAATATAACATGCATTCTTTCAGACAAGAAAATAGGCGAGATACTGGAGTTCAAAGTCATAACAAGCAGGACTTTTCTAATTATGAAAGAATTCCGCGAAGAAATGATTTTATGTATGATGATCAACATCATAAAGTAAACAATGACAGATTTGAAGAGAGCAGAACTGGTAGAAGGTGCTATGGATGTGGTGAACCTGGCATTATCAAATCTCGCTGTCCTAAATGCAATCCATCTAGCACAAACTCTTCTCCCAGTGTTGGAAACGTCCTCTTCCAGTCATGTGTAGACGAATCATCACAACTAGCTATATTGAGTATAACAGTAAATGGACTCTTAGGTACTGCATGTGCTGACAGTGGAGCAAGCCATTGTATTGCTGGAGAACGGTTGTATCAAATTCTCAAACAAGAAGGTGCAGACTTTCAAGAGACCCAACTCACTATGACACTTGCTGACGGAGAAAAACGACAAGTGGAAGCCTTCACTACTTTGGTAGATATAGGACTTGAAGGAAGAGTCTTTAAAACAAACTTAATTGCATTACCCCATGCTAAAGAAAATCGTACTCTCCTTGGTACAGATTTCCTTCAAGATGCTGGTATCGTCCTTGATCTAAAAAGTCGCAGATGGTTTTTCAGCGATTTTCCCCGACGAAAATGTAATTTTGCTGAGGAAGCCAATTTGTGTGATATCAAGAATACGCTATGTGCTTAATCCAATACTTGTCAACTGAGAGAGGAAGAAGGTCAACAACTGTCAAGTGAAGAAAAAAACAAACTCAACACCCTGTTGAAACAGTATGAAAGAATCTTCGAACCAGGGGGAGATGCAACTCCATATGCAAAACATTACATCAATACTGGTGATCATCCTCCTGTATCTGTTCCCCCGTACAGATTACCCCGTACTGTCCCTAATGAAGAAAAAGAGTTTTGTTCTCGTTTCTAGGGGAAAAAATTAATTTTATTCATTTTTATGCATCTACTACACTTCCAAACGTTAGAAAATTGCAAATCATTAAAAAAAAGAAGCAGATTCTTTAATTTTTTAAAAACATATTCCTAATTTTTTAAAACAAAAATATTATTTTTTAAAATTACAGTTTTGAACAAAAATTTTATTTCTAAAATGGCAGTTTTGATTTTATTAACAAATGTGATAGTTCTAGCATTGTTTTGACTTTAAAATTACACCGTTTTTGCAGATATGTTTTGAAAAAGCAGATATTATAGGAGGCGACCACTGTATATAGCTCAAGTGAAGCTGTCAAAATTTAAGAAAAATAAACTTTTAAGAAAAACTGGCATTAAAATTTGTGTCTTAAATATTTAATTGATAATCTGTCATGTGCAAAAGAATGAAAGGGGTGCTTTCCAAGGTAAAAATCTTAATTTTTGAAAATTATAAACAAAATTTTGTAATTAATAAGTATTTTGCAATTAGAGTCAGTTAATAAATTTAGCTCCTAATTAAACAAATTAATTTCGGATTCAGATCTTTAAAATGTAGGAAAATATATAACACAAATAAGAATGATATAAGGAACGAAGGACAAACAAGATTTTAATATTTTTTTATTGATGCAAAATATTTGCAAATTTAACAATTGAATAATAAAAATATATTACAAAATATCCAAATGTACTTAAATGAGTATCGTTATCGCCAGGTATTCATTTCAATAAGCATTAACCTAGAAAAGCAATGATGTTAAGTACTTAAAATATTTATATAGTTGTACTTCGATGACACAGTTATGAATCAAAAAAGAAAAAAAATTTGCTGCAAAAAGTCATTATTCGAAGAAGGAACAATATATATCATTATCATTTTAAGATCCATACCACACCATTTTTTCCACCATGTTTATAAAATTATTTTCAGCATCTTAAATTTTGTTATTTGAATTTTTAATTAAATATTAAAATTTCTGCCATAAAATATAACCATTAACAAACAGTTACTGAAACAATAAACTATAGGAAATAGAAAATATTACTAATTATTGAACGAAATAGCAGAGGGTTCAAAATTTAAAAAAATAATAATAAAAATATCAATTGTTACAGCCTTACATCTAATTGTTAAATTAGACATATTTATCACAAAATTCCATTATAACTACACACACAGTCATGTAACTGTAAATAAATAATAATATTGCACTTAAACAAATTCTCATAATACTTTATAGTTTATATAAGGATAGGTTTAGATTGATAAGAAATTTTTTTAAATATATTTAAAAAAAATAATTCTGATAATGAACTTCAACAAAGGCAACATGTTTTTTTAATAACAATAATATTTTAAATATTGAGGTCTAATAATTTTGTTGGGCTACACATAAAACCATAATTGATCATGGTGTAACCAAGGGCTTACAGTTTTCAGTACGTTGTACTAACAAAAGATTTTGTCAATATAACAGAGTATTAAATTCTTCAAATTATAAATGACAAATTTATTACTACTTATGGGAAGAAACTTTTAAATAAAAGCTATAATAATATTTTATTTTGTTAGATCATATTTTATACAGTTCATTTGTGACTTGTAAATTTTAAATGCATTTTACTTATTGATTCATCTTTTCAATTTTTACTTAACATAAATGCTTTATATTAAGAAATTAAAAATGATAAAATGAAAAATATTCTATTAAACAGTAAGTTTTAATAAAGATTTTTTTCTTAAAAACTGAATCAATGTTTTTTGTTTCATTAATTAATTTTCTACATGTAATTTATAATCTTGAATTCAAATGTAAAAAAAAAAAAAATAACACTAAAATCAGGTTGAATAAAATCACTGAAAAACATAAGTGTGGATATTTATGAAGTTACTTAAAAAGTGTTTGGTTAAGTTGTTGAAGTTAATAAATAATTAAAAAAAGTTTATTATAAAAATTACCTGAATTAAAATTTGTATTGAATTGAAGTTTAAATTGAATTAATAATGTAAGGGAAGTGGAACATTTTTCTTAAATAAGAAAAATATTTTCTTTATGATGGAATATTTTCCTATAATGCAGACAATTTATAAAGAATTTTTTTTTTTTTGTACGCATAATATGTTATAGAGAAATAAAAACATTAAAAACATAGAAACAAAAACTAGATTCATGAAATAATATAGAATATAAAAACATATTGCCATATAAAATCAACAAATAAATAAAAAATTTTTTTTTTTAACGCAGAAAAAATAGTTCAGGTGAAAAATGTTAACAAAATTTTAAACGAAACATTTGGCATAAATTTTGTTTTACAAATTTACTTGGCGAATGACATAATCTGACTAATAAATTTTAGAGATAGATTAAAATGCAACTCATTAAGATTATAATGAGACTTACCAAAAGATTTAATGCTACTTGATTTCTGTCACTAAACCAGCAGCTACAGTTGAACCACCAGACCTTAACATAAATCTACCCAAATCTTTGAAATCTTTAAATAGTTCTAGACAAATTATTCTATTGACTTCTATTTCAACAATGGCACTACTATTTTTAGATAAACATCTGTAAAAAATTATGCCAGTTAAAAAAATTATACACAAAATTGTTTAATCTTTATAATTAATGATTCAAAAATAAATAAATTTAATAAATGGTAAGTGTTTTATAGAGTAAAATGTTTCTTTTTTCTTGCAAGAAATGCATATCAATGCTTATTATTTATTTTATTTTTGAAAAAATATTATTACACTTTTTAGATTTTTTTAATAATACTTACGGAAAGATAAGATATATAAAAAAAGAAAGAAAGGAAAGATTTAAAAGATAACAAGAATTGTTTTTTCTTATAATGCACAAAAAAAATTTGTCTTCATATTTTCTAGGAAATATATTAAACTTATCAAGTACAGTAAAACCTCATTAAGTCGTCACCCTGATAAGTCGTCACTCCGCTTAAGTCGTCGTTTTCCTGTGGTCCTGACTAAGCCTCATAGACAATAATGTAAAATAACCCTCTTTTACCCGTCATCGAATTTAACTCTACTCCGGATAATTCGTCAACCCCAAAAAATGGCAAACCTATATTTTTTAATGGCAAACCTATCTGTTATCTTTTCAGACCCGCCCCTTTCACTTTAAGTATCTCCGGGAATTTCGGACCACCCACGAAGTTCGCTCTACAGCTGTGAGCATTCCTTTCCTTTTAGGGGATTTGGATTCTTGGAATTTTGCATGCCAATCGTTCAAAGTTCTCACTTCTTGCTCCGATTCAGTCGAGTGTAGACGTTTTTCTTTATTGTGCGTACTTCAGTGGGACTTCATTTCATAGCGAGTAAGCCCCGCTATAAGGGCCATTTTATTTTCTTACAAAATTGTGATTTGAATACGTTTCCAAAATGCCGGGAAAACGAAAACTTACCTCGTTATCTCTTAAAGAAAAAAAGGACTTAATTGCACTTTTTGAAAAGTCAAATGTTTCGAAAACAGCTTTTGCCAAAGAACACAATATTCCGAGAACTACTTTAAGTGATATTCTATCATCAAAGCAAACCATTGAAGAAGCAGACTGCAAAGACAACAGAAAGAGAATGAGGAAATCAAAGTTTGACGAGATCGAGGAGATTTTAGTTCGATGGTTAAAGCATGCAAGATCGCAAAATGAGCCTATTTCTTCCGTCATTCTTAAAGAAAAAGCGATGGAAATTGCTAAGGAGTTGAACATAGAAGATTTCCATTGCAGCAATGGTTGGCTGGAGCGTTTCAAGGACAGAAATAGTCTTTCTTTTAAAACGATTTGTGGGGAAGCCGCAGGTGTTGATGGTGATGCTATAGAAAATTGGAGGAACAGTGTTCTCAAGGACATTTTATCCAGGTTTGATGCCTTGAATGTTTTTAATCTAGATGAAACGGGCTTATTTTATCGTCTTTTGCCTGATAAAACTCTATCGTTTAAGGGCGAAAAATGCACCACTGGAAAAGCCAGCAAGCAACGTCTAACACTTTTGCTGGGAGCGAATATGAATGGAAATGAAAAGCTTAAACCACTAGTGATAGGCAAGAGCAAAAGGCCACGTTNGAATTCAGAGAATCTCAAGACTTGATTTGCTGACGTACACAAATCAATAGTTTAGATTCTGACAAAATTAATTTGGGTTTCGCTGATTTAAGATGAAAATTTCATTACTTATGCGGTATTTGGTTTATGAGACATTTATTCTGTCCTTTCTTTATTTTCTTTCCAAGTTCTCATTCACCTGCAATATCGAAGTTTTTTATACAGATTTGTTAGAAAAAATCCCATCTTGGTATGAGCTTCGGGAACACGAGACTAAAAAGAAAAAATTTATAAATAAAATCCCCTAATAATTTCTGCTAGAATTAATGTGATTAGATAAAACTAGTGAGGCAAGCACATAAATATCAAATTCATAATCTAAAAAGTAATTCCAAAATGGCAAGCATTTGAAAAATCATTTGCTAGAGAAAATTGTGTTTTTTGTCATTTTTTTAAAACTTATTATTAATAAGTATCAATTTTGTAGCAAATTCCGATTTTTTCAAAAGAATTAATTTAATTAATGTGGTATCCTCAGCAATTTTTAAACACCATCTTGTACTATTTTATGTGTATATTGAAAAAAGTAATGCTCTCTCCTTATCAAAATAAGAGAAAAATTTGCAGTTTATAAAATAAAAAAAAGACATCCTAAAAAACTATTATTGTACAAAATGTTTACTGTAAACAGTAAACATTTTGTACAATAATAGTTTTTTTACAAAAGTAAACTAAAAAACATAATTGATTGATAAACAACTTTTACAATAATTTAAACTGTTTCTTTTTCTACAATTTAAACTGAAAATTATGAGACAATGAACATTTAAAGTGCTTTTTTTGTCAAAAAAAATTATTTGAAAAATAATTTTAAAATTTAAAATCGATTAAAAAATTTATTAATATCCCCCACCCCTCCAAAAAGAGAAACCTATAAAAATTTAACCAGTTGAGAATAATACTAACAAAAATATTTATAATAGTTATCAGAATTAAACCTATAAGCACATATAATTTTACCAATGCGTAATTATTATTGAAATATGAATAAAAGGCAGTGTTTTTAAGGAAAGGTGATTTAGTTTTACTAAAAAGGACTCATTAAATGGCAATCATGGTGGTCTGCCCTTCTAAAATCGCTTAGGGAGAACACTGCAATGGTTAATGAAGGCAACTGTCTCATAATTGGAATGAAACAAAAATGCATGAAAGAAGAAGTTCAAGCTCCCATAGATGCTAGCCACAAAAAGTTATAAATTGCCAAAGAAAATGTTTCATATAAAAATAACTTTAAAGATAGATTTATTTTACATTGATTTCCTTAAAAACGCTGACTTAATGCATAATTTAATTTTATTCCAGTAAATGAAAAAATTACTGATAATTATTTTAGTATTAGTAATCTTGTAGATAAAATTAATACTTGTGGTATAAGTTATTAATTAAGATAAGTTTTTAACTATTAAATGATTATAATTATATTTAAAAAAATGCACAAAGCAACATTTTTAGTTGTCCTATTTTTTTCTAAAAAAATCACATAGCTTTTTAAATTGTTACTTTTATTTCTGAAAAAGTTTGAAAGTTTTATTTAAAAAGTGTTTAAGAAAACTGTCTGAAAAATTCCATTATAGATGAACACTGCCAAGTAGTTATGTGACGAATATTTCAATATTATTTAAAGTTGAAATTTTCTTCTAGGGAGAAAATCTCTTCTGTTATGAAACTTAGTTGTTTAGAGATTCTATGCTAACCACTTTTAAAATGTTGCAACTTAAATTACTCAAACTTATTATATGTTAGAAGTGGTAGTTTATAAACTTTAATTTTTTGACTCCTTTAAAAGTCTTCTCACACCCTCTAGCATTGTCATAGTTTTGTTGGCATCCCTTTTCATTTACCTGTAATATTGAATAATTATAAATATATATATGGAATATTGGATTGTATAGAAATTTTATAATGTCCATTATATTTGGATTTAATTTCTATGTCTTGTTTGTAGGATACTCTGGATTTTATTGCATATGTTGCTAAAGATACTAGTTTTGGGCGTGCTTGTTTTGTCCTGGAATGTGGTCTCGCACAAGATGTGATCACAACAATAGGGCAGGCATTTGAATTGCGATTCAAAGAATTCCTAAAAAAGACTCCACGTGCCATCACTGTTCCTGATCGGTTTGTACAGCATTAATTGTTTTTTACACTAAAATTAAAAAATACTTTATGTGTATGAAATTCCCACTGAGGAACTGAGCTAGAAGGTGATAACCTAACAATTGTAAAAAAATGCAAGAATTTGAAAAACCACACTTAAAACTTTTAGAGAAGGTTTTACATTGACTTTTTGAAAAAATTTATGAATATAAATAACTTGTATTTATGATTTTAATAAAAAATAAGGTTATAATTGAAATAGATACGTAATTCATAAATAAAATAAATGTAGAAAGACTCCACGTGCCATCACTGTTCCTGATCGGTTTGTACAGCATTAATTTTTTTTTACACTAAAATTAAAAAATACTTTATGTGTATGAAATTCCCACTGATGAACTGGGCTAGAAGGTGGTAACCTAACAATTGTAAAAAAATGCATAGGAGGCCTCTTAAAACCATTAAAAAAAAATTACCTAAAAATTTGAAAAACCACACTTAAAACTTTTGGAAAAGGTTTTACATTGACTTTTTGAAAAAATTTATAAATATAAATAACTTGTATTTATGATTTTAATAAAAAATATGGTTATGATTAAAATAGATACGTAATTTATAAATAAAATAAAATGTAAAAAGAATACTGGATGAAAAATAAATAAAAATTAAGTTTTTGTGACAGTCTTGAAAGACAACAGAATTATATTGTATTATCAAATGTTTTTATTTTTTATTATTGAATGAATTATTTAAAAATTAAAATAATGCCTTAAAATTGAAAGAATTCTTCTTGTCTGAAAACAAATTTTCTTTCTGTTCCTCACTTTTATTGGAGGATTTATATGGATACTAACATCAACACTTTTTATTTGAGGATCATGATAAGATAACAAAATTCAGTGCAAAATTTACACCAATTTATAAAGGGAAAAAATTCATTCTGAAGTAAAATGGCATTAAAATAAAAAAATATATAATTCACAACTCATAATAAAACATTGTGAAATGGGGGAGAAAATGACCAAAAATAAATAAAAACATGAATAATGCCTTTCATTAGAAGAAACAAACAAAAATGCAAAAAAAAAGTGCATTTATCATCATCATCCTATCCCTTCTGCTTGTTGAATGTGCTCTGTACTAACAAATAAATAAGCTAACAAATAATGTGCTCCCTCAGGTACAATGTGAATGTTTTAAATTTTAGATACGGATTGTTTAAGGAACCCCTAAGCAACCCGTGTCTAAAATTTAAAACATTCACTTAGAAATCTTACGTAAAGATTGTCACATTACCTTTGTTTATAACAGAATATAATATTTTTTTTCATTTACTGAACTTTTATTGTCGTAATGTAGTGAAAGGAGGAAAAAAATGGGGCTGTAACTTTAATCTGTCGATTTTTGAGTAAAAATATTTTTAGTATTCACTAGTTTAGACTCAAACAATGTCGGTGAGAGGACACAAAAAATAAGTTATGACAAGTTTCCTGGGGCATGTATTTCTCAAGAGCTGAAAAAATAACAGACCAACAGATAAGCAGAATGTAATTAAAATGTACTTAAAAATTTCTTTTCCTTTGTTACTAATACTTGAAGGCAAAAATTGTATAATTTGGAGTCTCTATGTTGTTGCTTTGATTCAGGTGCTTAATCAGTCCTATTTAAACGCTTTGATAGCTCGACTATAGCTTTTCTTAATTTAAAACACTTTGTTTTTTATATCAATAGATAAAATAATGCTATGAGTGTGAACATTAATAAATGAATGAAGAGATTGGGAAATTATATTTTAAATAGTCACCCACTTTTAGTCAAAATGGACCCAGAAATATGCAATCCCTGGGCTCTGAGGACCCATAATTTCCAAAGTCTAGCAGGCTCTCTACTCAAATGTTTTTAAGAATAATCAAAAATGCAACCGTTTTCATTCTCCAGTTATAGCTATCATAATTCTATCAAGCCGTATCCAATACTTATTTAATTTTTTCCACTTTGCTTTTAACTCTAGAATAATTTGTTTTTAATAAGGACACTTTAAAGTATGCAATCCTTATTTACATCTTCAGTACAATTCGAGGTACGTGTAACTCAAGTCTATAAACAACAATTAACCACTTTAACTTCAATGTCTCCAGAGCAAACGAAAATTTATAAATTTGATGGATAGCATTTCTAATGCTCTTGACAACTTAAAAAATTTTCTATAAATGATAAATACTTATGTGCATATTTTTGGGTTTTAAGTATTTTTATTAAAAGTTTATTTCAAAGCATTAATATTGATCTGTTCTAGATATATATACCCCTATTTATAAGGTGAAATATCTTCTGCACTAGAAAATTACAATCAAATTTCATGTCTATATTTGAGAATATAAATTTTTCTTTTTTTCTGATTTAGCTTCAAATAATATGTAACTGTTTGCCTATTATATAAAAAAATTACCAATTAGCAAAAAATGGATGATTATAAATCACAGTTTATAATATATTTTTTTAGATAAATTAGATTCATGATTGACATTTTTCTTTTAAGATCTATTTTTGCTCCTTTACCATTAATAGTTGATGTAGCTTTAGCAAAGACTTTCAACGCGTTTCATTTTAAGAATTCACAATAAATATTTGAATTTGTAATCAAGTTGATTGATCAAAATAGTTATTGCTTTTTTATTCATTTATAAGGAAAAGCTATTTAATTATTTGTCCACATATATGACTGATTATATAGAAAGAGAATATCGACCATAAAGTCTATTGATGGCTCTGATAAAGCTTCTCAGGCGTTATCGAATAAAACAATTTAACATTGCATCCTCTTTTAGAAAATGAACTAAAAGTGAATATTAAAAACGTTATAAATGTTTTTGTTTCGCGTATATTTATAAATAATAATTATTTTTTATTTAAATGTATTAAATGTCCAAACGTATTTCAACTGTAGTTAGTAATGATTGATTTAAAAAAGGGAGATTTGCTGAATTAGGGTAATATTCTATAGTATTTTTTCTAAAAAAAATTATGAAGCAAAATTTTAAAAAAGAACACTACATTGTGTTAAATGCCCAAAAAAAGTTCAGTCTTACTAATTTTTTAAGTGTAGGACCCATGCTAATTGATATTCAAAGTAAAAATGATGATTTAATATCGATAAATATGTGAACAAACTTAAAAAGTGTAATATGTTTCATTTAGTGTATGAATAATACACTGAAAGCTGTTTCAGGTTGCAGGAAAAACTTGCTGATTGGTAAAAAATGTCTGTGAGAACAATATTTTTTTTTCTCTCTTCAGTTTCTTTAAATGCAAACAGAAAGACGTTAATTTTTTACGATTTTGAAACATCATTTGTATTAATTCTTATTATTTGTTAATTGACTATTGTTGTTAATAAGAAAGCCAGCAAAAAGAAGACTGTGCAACTTTCTTTCAAGAGTTGGCGATGTTGATATGCGTTTGGGCTGGGAGCTTGGCATCCATTTAGCATGCCCTTTGATGCAAAGAGACTCTCTCCTTGGGGATAGTGGTTTTTTTTAACTTGCAAAGAATCTTACCTTTTCTTTACTTCGAGAGGAGTATAGAGAAGTGGAGTAGTCCAAAATCATTACATTATGTAATATTTGAACGACCCCAAATGAGTGAGTTTCCCTGTTAATAAACTTTGTTTCCAATAGGTTAGATAATCCTGTCTTTAATGGAGATGCTTGGGGTGAAGATTCTGAATATTACAATGATCTGCCAGCACCTTTACCTCCTCTCCCGGACTACCATCAAAATGGAGTAGAGGTAGAATCAATTTTTTTTCCTCCTACATTCTCTTAATGAGTGTTGAGATCTCTTCCCAAAAATAATTATTCCAGAATACAAGTAGAAACCTTAAAAAACTAGAAGAAACTAGCCAAAATGAAAAAAACTGTAAACGACCAATTCTAGCGAATTTTGATGTCTCTAAATTTAATATAATGCAAGAACATTAAAAGTTTTTACTTTTGCTTTTTTAAAAGAAACTATTTTCTTATTATTTATTTTAGTTTTGTGTAGAATTTTGAAATCTATGTAACTTCTATTATATTTATTTCATTCGGATTTATGCATTTTAAACAAATAAGTGTACATGTATCTAGATAATTTATTATGAGAGATATTATTTATAGCTTACTACACATCCTGTTTTAATATTTTTTGATACATGATTATTAATCGCGTGCATGAAATTATTTGTATTATAGGATCAATTCTGATTATACTATTCTTAATGCTTTTGAGAAATATTACTTTGTTTACTTTTTTCTAAATTTTTAAGGAGCAATAAAAAACAAGACTATAATGTTCATAAACGCATGGTAGAGCGAGAATGCATACAGTTTTATTTTTTATTTGGTTTTTAAGTAATCTTAAATGTGTGTTTCTGAATGATTAAATTTTTGAAATTCAGTTTATTATTCTACATAAGTGAAATGTTTGTTCATAATATTTCATAGCAACCTTCTTCCATGGATACTTGCAATGCTGAACCATTGTCAACAAATGAAAATACAGAACCAGGTAATTTATTTAAGTTTCAGAAGTATTTAGTGAATGTGAATAATCTGTTTTTTTTTTCCTTTAATTTTTAAAGATTGTTAAAAACGAATTCATCGTTGATTTTCTTTGTTTGTTTTCAACATCATTGCAATGGAAATATAGATTTCATTTCTGCTTTTCAATTTATTCTGTTATGATCTAAATGTCACTTCTGGCCTAAGCCATTTAGGTTATGACTAGTAAAGCACCCTCTATTTCAAAAATTTTGGACTATAATTTTCTTATGCATATCCTTTCCTTTTTTTTTGTGTGAATACTCTAGTAAATTTTAGATAATTTTGACATTAAAATGGCTTTTTTTTAAAGATTTTTGAAAATTGGACTTTAAATATTTAATCACCCTGAGTATTGTTTCAGATGTAATATCTCTCTATAATTTAGAAAGAAGATAAAAAAATCTCTGCTTAATTTACTTAAAAAAAAAAAAAAGAAACATGCAGGACAAAATATTTTGCTGCAAAAAGAAAACATCAATGACAAAATTATTTTCGAAATGATAATCTATTTGCTTTGTTTAAGATTTTAAGGTTTTTTCTAGCAAATATATTTTTCCAATTTGTGCAGCTTGTTTGATAATTTATATCCACTAAGTAAAAATTTGGTTCCAAATTCATGCTTTTTTTTTNAGTGTTTTTTTTTTAAATGTTATTAGTTTCAATGCACTTTTCTAAAAATAATTTTTTTTTTTTAAAAATAGAGAGAGAAGCTAACTTTGCTAGTCAACTGTTTTACCATTTTTGAGTAAAGAAATTTTAATATATATTTTTCAACATGAAGAATAAACTATGTAATGAACTGTATAAATATTACTTGTAGCATTTCAATAAAATTTTATCTAATTATTTCTTATTCACTATTTTAGCCTGTTTTCTTTCTATAGAACTCCAAAACGTTAAGGGACTTGGAAAAATAAACCTTTTTTTTTTTCAAAAATGATTTAAGAGTGCTGATGTCAACACTTTCAAAACTTATTTCAATGACACTAAAATTTTGATCTTTGTTTCTGATACTGTAGATTCTCAAAGATATAAATCGTACATTTCTAATTGGAATATATTTTCAGCTTATTTTGCTTTCACTTTATTTAAATCAAATGATTTTTAAAGCATTAATGTAAGGTGAAAATATTTTTTATGCAATATAACTTATGAGTATATTATAAGATTGTGATTTTTTAATTTTATGTTTAAGTCTGATATCATTGTTAATGAAGGTTTTATCTAGAGAAATAGTGAAGGAGAGAAGTGTATGTATACATATATATATATATATATAAGATATTCAGAAAAACAATTAAAGCAGGAAAAAGCAATAAAAATAAAAGATATGTGTGTTGGCAAGACAGAACTTCATCAGGGGACACACTGCCAGCCAATACACAGGAGCCTTTTGTTGTCAGTGGAAAAACCAAAACTGACAGCGCGCCGAGGCCCCATAATGGAAAGACAAATAAGAGAAAATCATTATAAGAATTGAAAAGCTCTGAAAAATAATGAAACAGCAAACACTACTTAAAAGTACACATAGTAAGACTTAAAAATGATATTCCCACTTATAGATAAAAATAGTTACTGTTGGAATAATCAAATCAAAATGAAATATAAATTGCCAAATCAGTAAGAAAATATTATAAATAAATCAAGTGCTGACCCCTTTTTGAAAATCTTAAAAAATGAAACAAAAAGATTTTGCAAAAATTTTTCAATTTGCAAAATTTTTTTAAAAAAGTGCTGCTATCTTCTTTGGTAAATAAATCCTACATTTCACCGCATAGGCCTATTTATGCGTGCATCAATATCGGCCAAACTATTTTAACGTTTTTAAAATATTTTGAATTAAAACATCATAATTATAGTATTTAAAAGGAAAATTATAGTAATTTCTTACCCTCACAATATAGTGGATAGTCCCAATCTGGAATGGTATCTATTGGTTCTGTAAAACTTTTGAGATCATTTATAAGTCAAAATATTTACCAAAGGATTAGCAGGCCTAATCTATTCATTTATTCATTCAGTTCGATAGGCTGTATTTTGCACTCACGCAAGTCGGGATGAATGATTTGCGACATGCTGTTTGCCAAGATGCACTCAATGAGATTGTTAGTGCTCGATGAGACGTGTCCGAGAATTTGTGTCTTTCCACAATTGACTTTTGAAGAAAAGAATTATACTTATGTGATTCTATTGGAAAGCAATCCGATGTCTGTGACAGTACCATCAGTTCTAAAGACCATATATAAGAATCGAATTAAACGACGAACTCATAAATTAAATCTACCGACAATATTGTGAAAACCATAATTGAACATCTGTAAGTAGGAAAAAGCTTCAGTCCTATTTACTACTTTTTGAAAAAGCTAAAAACTTCTGCTTTTTCTCATCAGCATGAATATTTTTAAAACAATTATGTTAAATGAAGTTGTTGTAGAAGCAACCTTCGACCATGTGGCTGTGTGTGTATATATGATATCCTGATAACAACTTGACTTTCTCAGCAAGCTCTACCAAATTTGCAATTTAAATTCCAATTTGCAAACTGCTACTTATATTAGATAAGCTGGTCCTGGATGCAGTTAATTTGTTTGGTAGGGATAGTTAAAGAACCCTATGTGAACGTGATGTGCTCTACATCACTTAGTTAGCATTGCTGGCCAAATGAATTAAGATTTGCAGTTGCATCAAATTTGTTTTTTATTTTAACTTCCTGGAGAAGCATCGCTATTCTTTTGAAGGTATTTAAATTGCATTTTGAGGATTAAAAATCAGTTTATAAGCAAATGGTATTTCCTAACACAAAAATAAAACCATTTCAACCTAACTGAAATTAGTGGCAATTTTTACTCAAAATTTCAGGGCAATACTTCTCCCAGAAGATATTGATTTTAAAAATAAAATTTATATCTGTAATATCCTTGTGGATTGACCAATTTTGTCAGTTATTAGATTTTGCTTTGAAAAAAAAAGTTAGAAAACAAGGCAGCTTAGTATGCATAAATAATTAAATTTTCAGAACAAATCTCGAGAGCTTGCAATTATTATTATTTTTTTTTATTCAGTGATTAATTTGTAGTCATTAAATTATAATGTTGACGATTTTCGTTGAAAATTGGAAATATTTTAGCTATAATATTAATTTTGAATAATATTAAGTATTATTAATATGTTTTATCAGAACCGAGATTGGTAAATGTTAAGAAATTTAGAAAAATCTGATTTAAATTAAAATATATATGTAATTCTTTCCAAAGATTAGTTCTTATTTTTGAAAAATATTAGTTCTTTTACATAAAATCGTAGCTTAATTGTTAAGATCAATTTAAATAAAAATTGTGTTTATTTCTTTCAGAATATGTGAATAGCATAGTTGCTGCTTCTGAACAGACATCATTTAATTTACGTGAGTAGCTTCATGTTTAAGCTATTTACTTGAATAATTTCATGTCTTGTATCTGTTATGAAATATTTACTTTTCCATAATGCATGGAAATGCATTTTATGCTGATTTGCCCTTCTCGGTCACTGTGGTTTTTCTTGTTCTGTCTTTCATCTTTTTCTCCCCCTTGGTTTTTATAATATATTATAATGCATTATAATAATATATGTAATAATAATGTATTTATAAAATAAATTAATGTGATAAATTAATGTAATGTGTTAAAACTAAGTAAGGAGGGGTGCTTTTCAGACTTTTACGTTTTATTTTTCAGTTTTTTTTTTTAGAATTTTTTCATTTATTTTTTAAATAAATTTTTTATTGTATGTATTGTATGTTTTTATTATTGATTCCATAATTTTCAAAATGCAGTGCTTATATAAAAGAGCCTAATTCAATTAATATATTAAATTAATTTAAAAGATTATCAATGTAAATTATTTTATTTAATGCTGCATTATTCATAACCACTGTTATGCTTAAAGCTTCAATGCGCTTAAATAAAACTCAAAATAGTTTATTCTATTACTAGATATAAAACTTCATTTGTTTCTGAAATATAGAAATTGAAAATAACAGTAAACATGTTTTAAGTACCACAGACAGGCACCCATTTTCAAGACTTACCAGATGTTAATAAAAAGAAACAAAAGTTTATTTTTCCATTTTTCATTGGCAACATAACGTTTTGTATTTCAAATCACTTTAGTTTCTTACATTCACATCTGGCATATCTCGAAAATGGGCACCTATTTTTAAGCACTTGAAACATATTGATTGCTGTTTCCAGTTTGTATATTTTTGGAAGCGAATGAAGTTTTTAATCAAGTAATCTTTCTACTTCAGTTTCTTGGGGTTATTTATTTATTGCAAAAAACATTTTCCTAATCATTTAATTTAGTGCCATTTATAAATTTTTTTAAATCATTAATGAATCTTTAACCTGATTCTTCCACAGATATAATGATATGGAAAAAATTTGTTGCATAATTTATGCAAATATAATCTGATAATGTATGCACATTTTTTTGGATGTTAGCTAATTCCTTCACATTTTGATGGTCAAATAAATTTGTTGTTAATTTATTTTCCAAAAATTGCATTTTTTCAAACAGAGCAACTTTTTTTTGTATCCTAGACTTCATATCATGATTTAGAAAAGTAACATTTTCTGGTTAATTAAATTTTTGTTGTTCCAAAAGTTCTATTCTTAGTGTTAAAAGTTGAGAAACATTTTTTCTTCAATTGCAGAACCTATTGAGACAGCATTGCAGGAGGCTCCTCCACCCCCTAAGCACAGGACAACATCATCCTTTGTTCAGAAATGGCCAGCTGGATTGGCCAATCACAGAGTGGTACTCCTTCAAGAAGAGTGGTTTCATGGACCCATCAGCAGAAAGGAGAGTGAGTCCTTAGTGGTAAGGGATGGGGATTTCTTGGTACGAGAGTCCCAAGGTTCCCCAGGACAGTATGTATTGACAGGGATGCAGAATGGAATTCGAAAGCATTTACTCTTGGTGGATCCAGAAGGAGTGGTAAGACTAATGCTATTATATAGATATGTACAGTGCTCAAAATAAAACATGGACCACCCTAAATAACTTTTGATCTGATGAATCCCTTCTTCTCATTCTAGCACTCAATCTCAAGGGCTCGAAGAGGTAACTTACCTGTATATGCTAATTGTAAAGTGCAGACAATACTTTAAGATATGAAATCAGATGAAAAAACGTACTTTCTCTGTATAAACATACCTTTTTCTTGATGGATTTAGATTTCTGACCCTTAAAATATAGGGGGTGTAGTTGCAATCTAAGATATAGGGTACCAATCGTTTGGTCAGGAGATTGCTCCAAAGTTTTGACCTCTTAATGTTAATTTTACTTTTTGCGTATTTCGCTGTATCTTGAGAACTTGAGCAAATTGAAAACTTTTTGCACACAATTATTAAATTTGTTTAACCCTAAATAATTTTATTCAAAACGTAATCCCTCATCGAAAAAAAAGGTTTGTTTATTCAAACAAAGTACGATTTTTGTGTGAGTTAGTAACTTAACAAATCGTCTGCATTTATTGTTTAGCATATGCTATTAGGATTGAGGTCTAGATCGGGAAGATCTGATCATTATATCAAAAAACTTTCAGGGTAGTCTGTTTTTATTTCTTCTCCCCCCCCCGCACTGTACAGCAGGGTTTGCATAATTTCAGTCAAAATTTAAATCGCTTGATTTTTAAAAAAAAATCTTTTATTTTAATCAAAAACAATTTTTAAAGGCTGATTTTATTGATATTGAAAGTTTTAACTCGAAAAATAATGTCTGAATTATTATTATTTGATGTTTACAGTAGACTAATAAATAACAACAACAAAAAGAGACTAAATTTGGAAGAAACTTTAAAATATAACATTCCATTACTTGTATGTAAAACAATTTATTTACTATAATATTTTAATCATGTTCATTTAATTTTATGCTCATTGAAATTAAATAAAGTATTCTGAAAGCTTACTAAATATATAATTTGTATACCTGAATAATGAAGAAAGACCTGTTGTACCAAGAGTAATGTATGAAATAATGGATTAATTTCTTATTTTTATTTCCCCTGATATAATTTATTTTTCATTAGAAATCTAATTGAAAACCGGGTCGTTGTGCATACAAATTCATGAGGATAATGAGATTGAATAAAATTACTTAGATTTTCTTTAAATTCAGTGATTAGTTTGAAATAATTACAAAATAATTTTAAACAATTTAGCATGAAACATTACGTATTTCAGTTCGTTTAGTTAGTACGTATTCAGACTCGATGGAATACAGAAATTGATAATAAATTGAATGAAGTCAAACGGTTAATTACTCCATTTAAAACCTTAAATATTCCAGAAAAAGTGCAGACTATTAATAAACAGGTTGCGTATTGGCTATACAAGATGAGTGCATAGACTAGACTTACTAAACGATCCAGCTACTATTTTGCTCCAATTGTAGAGAATCATTAACAATGAAACACATCTTGATCCACTTTGAATTTAAAAATTAAAAGACGTCTTTATTTTGATTGCAATTTCCTTAGTTTGCCTACCCTACTTGGTGCAATTCCACACACATATCTTATTGACTTTCTTAAAGACACTGGATATTTAACCTTTATTTAAATGATAATTTTATATTGATCAAGTGCTTGGCGCTGTATAGTCTTTTTGGCTGTATTTTTTTAAGTAATATCTATAATGTTTTCCACTATTAAAATTTAGAATTTGAGTTTTTGTATGAATAATGCAACTTAAATTTATTTTTATTAATAAGAATAAAATTCATTATGTTGCAAAATAAATCTGAAATAATTGTACTCATAGTCATGAAATTATATTCGTTAGATTTTTTAGAAATTATATTTGTTTAACCATAAATTAAATGTTAAAAAAGGCGTTGGCTATTTATTCTTAATGTCGTTGTGTATTTAATTTAAATGTCATTGGATATTTATTCTTATGATTTAATTACAATTACTATTATTGTGTCATAAATGGATTATGAACTTAAATATAAACTAAAAAATACCAGTGCTTTTCTAAAACTGCTTTTTTTATAATAAATAGTTAATTTATGCTTGTTCTTTTTTTAATTATGTATTTTTAAAATAATTTTTTTTCAGGTTCGAACAAAAGACAGAACTTTTGAGAGTGTGACTCATTTGGTAAGTTTTCACTGTGATAATGGTTTGCCAATTATATCGGCTGAGAGTACCTTGATTTTAAGGAATCCCATCCCTAGAACTATGAATCATCACTGAAAGGATAACAAAGGTTGTTGTTGTGCCATATTAAAAGGAACAAAGTAGAAAGAGAGGCAGTATTCACTTTCATAAACATGATCAAAGAAATGTGTGATAACGTTTTATGATTTTTTTCATCCAAATGCTTCTTAAATGTTTTATGAAAATTTTGTATTCCAATAAATAAAAAAAAAGCCATTGAATTTGTTTGAATTCAATCTCTGTTATTACAAAAAAAATCATTAATTATCAGTTTTTGCAAATAACACAGTGCAATATACAGCATGATGCTACACAAAATTTTACAAAAATATATGTAGTTAGGGAGTCATTATGGATTTACGATTAAAAAAAGCAATCTAAAGTCACCCTGTGATGTATTTTGCAGATTTTTTTTCTTCATAAAATTAACAATGTGGAGAGAAAGATTTCTATTTTTTGTTCAACTGTTGTGTAAGTGGAAGTTGTCATTCATATGTATATTTAATAAATTTTTAACTTATCTTTATTAATCAAGATGTTATAAAGGTATAATACCCCATGATCAAATATCCCATGATATACCAAAGGCATAGTATCCCATAGGTCAGGGAAAACCTGATATTGTTGGAGAATCTTATTTTAACTACTAAACAGAAAGTAGGCAGTAAAACTTGCAATTTTTTACAAAAGTCTGAAAAATTCCTTTGTCATACCTGGAAAATAACCAGCCTTAAAATTGTCGAATTCTAACATCGATTACAATTATTTATTGCAACAATTTCATATATTGTGGAACTGACATGTTTCCATTCAATTGAAATTTACTTAATATTCCTGGTAAAAGTCAATTTTTTTATGAAATTGAGTGTGGAATCCTGTAATAGATTCAAAATAAAATTGCTCTTAAAAATACCCTTTTTTTGTCAAAATAAACTAAGAAAAGCAAATTATATATAAATGTTAATAAAAACCTTCCCTGAGATTTTTGTGCATATTAAAATATAAATTTCAAAAAGCAGGTTTGATACTTTTGCTTTATGCTGTAAATCAGTGTTTCCCAAACTTATGACTTTTGTGTACCCTTTCTAAACTTTTCGTAACGCTGTGTACCACTAATAAAAAAATGAATTTATTTTTTTAAACTATGTTTATTTTTCTTTCTTGGTACAAAAATGTTTTAATAAGTTTATTTTGCATGAGTGAGAAGGATGATATTGTTTTTGCTGTGATAGCAGGATAAAAATTATATTTTATAAAAGTAATCAAAATGAGTGGAATTTATTACAAACCTTTACCATAAAAAAAATTGCGCAGAAGTTAAAAATCACAACTGGCTGTTGACACCACTAATTATTAACTGTTAACTCTGCAGAAAATAACCAATAGAAAAATACGTAATCGTAAATTTTCGTGGCTAGCTTTGTTTTTAAATAAAAGGTTTTGAAATTTTCGTTTGTTGCAAGTTATTTCGCATAAGAACGCTTACCCCCTCTACACTGTTCCCGTACCCCTAGGGATACGCGTACCACACTTTGGGAAACACTGCTGTAAGTAAATCTACATATTGTATAACTACAAACAAATCATAATAGCAATGATTGATTTGTTTTTAATATGGTAATTTTTTTCTGCAAATTCGATTTTAATTTTTCTTTTATTTTAGAAATACCTCAGATTATACGTGCTCATATTTTTTTGAATTTTTACAATTGAAACCACAAAAAGAATAAATAACAAAACTATTAAGTTTCTTAAAAAAATTTAAAAAAAGCATGATAGTTTGATGTTTTATACTTGCTGCATCTAACACAACTATGTTTCTTCTCAGAAGACGTATTTTGCAAATGACGAATGAATGATTAATTAACCAATGAAAAATTTTATGAAATTCAAAAGTCGATTTTGTGTAATTCTGACCGTTAGTGATTTTATGAATGTAAAATTATTAGCGGGCTAAGAAATTTTAGACTTAAAAATACTTAAAACATGTCCATGAAAATTTTAAAAAAAATTTCTCAAAAAGCATCAAAAAATGATCTTAGAATGAAAAAAAATTTCCTTAGAATTTATGAAAAACATGTTGTTTTTTTAATAAAATACAAGTTAATAAATGGGTACTTGCAACTCGAGAAGAAATGAAGTGATTATACTTAACCGTGTGATTTAAATCAGATTTAATTGGATTCCTGTTAGAAACATGATTTGTGCTTTACAAATGTGATTGGCTTCTGAATTGACTAATGCCAGGATACACCAACGATGACGTAACATGCAAATATTTAATTAAAATAAATATGTAATGTGTCAGAAAATTAAAATGTAAATGAGCTCTTGATAAAGTTAAATGGGAATTTATTGATATTTAGTTACATACTTCAGGAAAGAACATAATTGCATTGTATTTTCAAATTTTTTTCAAAAGCCTTTGTTTCAAAAGTAACTTCTTTTAAAGATATCAATGCTCATTATTTGATGATAATCAAAATAACAAGATTCAATGCAAACTTGCATTTTGGAAAGAAAAAATATTATCCAAAATATTTTTATTATAATATTTCATTAAATGGCAATGTTTAGAGGATTATATTATAACTAAAAGGAAAGATTTTTTTCAAAATTCATAAAAAATGATTTAATAAGCTAAAAAAAATAATTAAATAAAATTAAACGAAAATGGCCAAGAAAAAGAAACTTGTATAATCTTCTATATATAAGGGAGAGTCGGGTAGCCCCGCTCACTTAAGGAGTTTTGCTTATATTTCTGTATAATATTGAGTAATAATCAATATTTTTGTATGTTTCGATTGTTTTATCATCTAATTAAATAATGCAAAAAGACTAAACCAAAAGAAGAATAGTTTAACTTAAAAAAATAGAGATTCTAAAAAACATGTTTTTCAATTCTTTTCAAAATGTGTCGGGTTGCCCCGCCCAGTTACAAAAATTATGTTTTTTGACTGTTTTTTCAGATGTAAATGAAAATGACCAATGTATTGACAATAAGTAAACCTCGTTTATCATTTTTATCACAAAATTATTTTATTTATTACATATTTATATACTTTTAGTGAATTCTATAATTAATAACAATCATTTAATAACAACAATGTTTGTTGTTAAAAATGCATATAACATTCAAATTTGAAGCAATAAAATAATAATCTTTGCAACCGTACATTTATCGACGAAATAAAATTGGGCGGTGATACCCGACATCCAATTTTTTTGTAAATTTGTAATTACTCGAACAATTNCATTTTGGAAGGAAAAAATATTATTCAAAATATTTTTATTATAATATTTCATTAAATGGCAATGTTTAGAGGATTATATTATAACTAAAAGGAAAGATTTTTTTCAAAATTCATAAAAAATTATTTAATAAGCTAAAAAAAAATAAATAAATAAAATTAAACAAAAATGGCCAAGAAAAAGAAACTTGTATAATCTTCTATATATATGAAAATGAATGTTATAGACTCCTAAGCCATCCGAACAAGAGCAATGAAATTTCTCTTACAAATACTAGTTTGAAGAACAGGAAGGTCGATGTTACTATGAAAGTTCAAGTGAGATGAGCGAAACTTGAGATGGAATTTTCTAATTGCTTAAGTGTTAGCCTTTGTTTTAAATTAAACTTTAGACTAAACTTTTATGTACTAAACTTTTTCAATATTTTCAATGATTTGCTGGCTCATAGCGCTATTTAATCAAAAGAAGAGTATATTGCATAAACTTTAATATTTAATTAACTTTTATTTGCTATGTTCAGATAAACTCAATGAACAACGGTAACGTGGTAACACGCGAGGACCAAATCACGAAATTAGTATTACTAACTGAAACCATGTGTTTCTTTTGTTTATAGTAATTCTTTTAAAACGTGTTTCTCTAAAAGTAAGTAATTTCAAATCAACAGTAATTGAAACGACAAAATTAGTTATGCATTCCAAGTTAAGTTATGTATTTCCACATTCCCAAAATTAATGGAAATCAGGCATTTAAGAGAAAATCGCCATACTGTTATTGATTATTAATGAATTTAGGTAATAGATGCATAATGAAATAAAATAAATAAGCTATGTTCTAAAAAGCAAAATTAATGGAATAAAGGTACTTATTTGTTTAGAGGAACCATTAAAAATTTCCATACTATTATTGATGCCAATGCTGCTTAATGTGTATTAATTGAAATAAAAAAATAACCTACAACTGAAAGGCGAAGTTAATGGAGAAAAGATACTTACTCGTTTTGGGTTACAGTAAAAAATAACTATATTATGATTGACATCAGTGTTTAATTAAGATTCGTAATATGTATTAATTGAAATTAAAAATCAAAATTAATGAAGAAAAGGTATTTTATCATTTAGGGGAACTGTAGAATATCACCATATGTAGATGACGCTTAATTAACTTTGGTAATATGTTCTACTGGTATGATAATTGGCGCAGTTTTAAATAGAATTTACGATGAATATCCCTTAGTTTCAGAAGAAAAAAGATGTTTGCAGTCGTAGCAAAGATAGTAATGAATTAGAATTAAAAGAGCTTTTTTGCACCTCTACTTTTAAATATTTTAAACAGTTTATGTTAAAAGTGAGATAGAGAAATGGTCATACTTTAAAGCTCTTGTGAAGGTCTTTTAAGAATTCTATTTCTATCTTTTTAAATTTCGACTTTAGTTTGCTACCACTAATAAATGGATTTCGCACAAACTCAAGTAATGGGTACCAAATATACTAATATAGTATAAAGGCTTATATTGATATACTTGGTAATTATTAAAACTTCGCCAATACTGAGCAGTTTTAATACAGATAATGCGGAAATAAAGGTCTTATAGCCTCTCGAAAGGGATATGTACCGAAAATGATTGATAGTCGTAAATTTTGACTACCATGAGTTGGCCGCGAGCAATATTATGCAAAGTGATGCTGAGTGCAGTTCTCTATTCTAATGGGATGAACTACAAAAAAAAAAATTATGTCATGCTTAATTTAATAACGTAAAGGGGAAGGGCGACAAATAATAATAAGTAAAAACTGAAATAGCTTTATTAATTGTATGCCTTTCAGTTCAGTACTAATATATTGATTCTTCACACATTTAGAAGAACGGGTATAACAGATAGTCCCTCATAAAGGAAAAAAACAAAAAATATACATTTATCGTCTTAGTCCTGAATATGAGTCGCACATTTTTCATGGTATATTATGTA